CATCTTAATGGCCTTGAAATTGTTTTTTGTTGGCTCGTGGATAAAGGATGTGTCGAACACCTTGCAGCAGATGCAGCAAAAGGACGACAAGATGATGGAGCAGTGGATCGATCTCACGGATGCAGCTTGGCTGATAGCTGACTCGATGTCATGCTATTTTTTTTAGAAATGCTGTCCAGCCAAGCATCGGGAGTTGGAGGCTGAGCGTCCTGCTACCACAGACGAAGGGACACAGGAAAAGTTACAGCAGCTGCACTGCCTCCAGGAAGAGGTGGGAGTGATAATGAATGATGCCTTGCCCGTGTCAGTATAGCCAGTACAACCCACAATTTTTCTGAATACGTTTAGCCTCTTTTAGCTGTGTTTGATTCATTGTTCTCAATGGCTCTCAGATGGTTTGTTGGGAAATGAAAGGCAGAGATTTGGATTCAATCGGATTTTCTTTGGTTCTAAACAGCCCAAAACCAGTGAAGCTTGACTTTGGGATGAATAATTTAGACGTGGGTTTGTTTTGATGCTCCCTACGCAGGACCCTGTTAATCGGGAATCAGTTGATCTTTTCGCCTCGCAGGGTGTGGAAGTTTTTTCCATCGATGACTTGGAGTCGGGGACCTTGAAATCATAATGATCGAATCTGATTTCAAAATTTCGATTTTTTGTGCAAAGGCGAACAAAACTGCTCGGCGAAGGAGCCTTCGGTGAAGTCCGCCTGTGCCAGCATCGAGGCGCAAAGTTTCAAAAGTTGTCGATGAAACATCCCGAAACTGTTTGTCCTTGCTGGGACCTGCTCCCTACAGGCACCGGCACCAACTACGCGCTGAAGATCTTGTCGAAAAGCGACGTCGAAGTGTGTTTCTCAGTCCTCCGCATTTGCACGTTCAAATCATTTTGACACACCTTTCCTCCACCTTTCAATGTAACCATGCCCCAAAACATTCAGATCGCTGTTGGCTTGTCATAAGCCATTTGGTTAACATTACAGCCACTCATGAGGCACAGAATGAGATACAGAATGAGATCGAAATCATGGCCGCATGCAACACGGACTTCATCGTGCGCGCGAAGCTTAGCAGGTCTTCTTAGAGGACATGTTTGGATAAGAGGCATTTTTCCCAGTTAAGTGGTAAACCCATTGAGTGTGATGAGGCTTGTATGGCAGCGCGCAGGACGATGAAAACGCAGGAAGCTTACAACAGTGCCTTCCTGTTTTTTGACTGGAAACGGGTTTGCATGTTCCAGAACAAATGGCCAGACATGGGTCCATTCCGTCAAGGTCTACATGGTGATGGAGCTGCTTGACGGCGACCTGTACGACCTCTTCAATGAGGCTAGTCAACGGAGGGTATATTTTTTAAGGATTTTTTTTGTTTTTTTAAGGATTTTTTTTGGTTTTTCAGTCTGGAGCAGCTTCCCCAGCTATTTGCTGCTGTTTGGAGCTAAAATCTGTGTTTTGCATGCATTTTGGAGCGCTCATGTGGCTTTTGGCTTCGAGTTGGCTTTTTGGCTTTTGGCTTTTGGCTTTTTGGCTTTTTGGCTTTTGGCTTTTGGCTTTTTGGCTTTTGGCTTTTGGCTTCTGGCTTTGCTCGGGCTTTTTAGCATTTGGCTTTTGGCCTTTGGCTTCTGGTTTTTTGCTCGTTGTTTTTTAGCTTGTAGCTTTTGGTTTTTCTTTTGGTTTTGGCTTTTGGCTTTTGGCTTTTGCTTTCCGTAGCTTTTGATGGCATTTTTGGTATGTCAAACTTGCACACTTTTCAACACACTAGTTTGATTCAACTATACTTATATTAATGTTTAATTATATATATATGCACTTACATACATATATATATATTTATTTATGTACTTGTATATATGTATATATTTATATGTATACACATATAAATGTACATATATATATATAAGTATGTATCTATAAGATCCAGAAGTAACCATTAAGCAAACCCTAAATATGCCCTAAACCAAACCCTGCATATATATATATA